AGAGAGAGAGAGAGAGAGAGAGAGAGAGAGAGAGAGAGAGAGAGAGAGAGAGAGAGCGCTGCTTTATAGCTGCTAAGATTTCAGGCAGAAATAGCAGCCAGCCACTGTGAGCTGCATCCGACTCAGAAACCAAAACCAAATTTTACTCACTTTCCTTAATCAGTCGGCCAGAAAGAAGGAAATGGCATCTGGTCCTGTCTTCTTCTACATCCTGATGATCGGAAAGTATTGTAAGTACGCTCAACATCTAATTTTATTTTCCTTAGTGTGTGTGAAACCATCGCAGGCAGCACGTTGGTGCAGTGCATGCCGTCAACATAAATTTGCATTACTTGCAATTATGTTTTTAGGCTAAAATGTATTTTCTGATAAAATTGTCAACGCACTTCAGGATTGTTCTTCCGGGGCATTTCTTGTATGTATTTGTTTGTAATACTTCAGTATCTTGTCATAATATTTAATCAAGACTAATATGCCATATAAACCTACACTTTACAACAAGAGATCTGTAGAGATAGTGTAAGGAGCACCGTGACGCGGAAGGCACAACTGCCCTTAAAGACACCGCGTGCAGGGTTATGTTCAGCAGGACAGGTGGGAAGGCTCGGTGCTCGCGCCCGCTCTGCGCAGCTTCGCGGCTCCCCACCCCCAGGGCTTGGTGCCCCAGGTTTGAACCGACGCAGACGCTCTCATGCCGGGCTTTGCTTGGCAAGGGCTCTCCCTGTGCTGTGAGAGGAAAGGGGGAGCAGCGGTACACAAGATAGAAATGGACATTTGACTTTATAATGAGGAATTTTGCTTTCTCTGTGTACATTGCTGTTTATTCAGAAATCTTGCTTTAGTTCAAAGGAAAGGAGGATTGTGCATCAAGGCTCATTGGACTTGTAGGGTGCAGGTAGAAATGACATGTTTTGTTTCTTAGGCACTGAGCAATGACCAAGGCAAAAGCAAGCAAAGAAGATTCCCGAGGACCTTTAAGCCCTTAAGTTTCTGGGAATGTGAGTTTCACCGAAGTTGGATCTCATAGGCAAGCTTGCATTCCTCTAGCCCCCAAAAGTTTGCCAAGGTTTTGTCCACACTATCGTATTCTATTCAGGAATAGATCATGGTGGCTTTCAGTACTGACCCTCTTACTGCTGACAGCACATACTGCACCAAAGGGACAAAGTGGCTTTTTTTTTTTCTCTCTTTGCCTTCAGCATACCTGTTTTCAGTCAAAGGAGGGAGACTACCAAAACCAGCGAAACATCTTCACACTTCCAGGGAATACTTTAGTCTTGGCTTTCTCCCTCTCAAGCTTGGTTGCTGATATTTCCATGTTGGTTAAAGGGAGGGGAAACGTCAAACTTCAAATCAGCACCAAAAACTGAATGTTTCTAGGTATATCCCAGTATTGCACCTACCAGAGCTCCTGACATTTACAGCTAAAAGCCTAGTAAATCAATAGCAAATTTTACCATCCCCAATTTCATTTCAATGAAATTTTGAATAGTTGAATAAGCCAAAGGAACATGTTTTAAATGGCTCTCTAATCTGAAGAATTCAAGATCTATAAAAGGTGTTCTGGGCAGGTTGAGAAGTAAATTTGGCTAGTGTGTTCCTGAAGTCATTTGAGGTTAGTAAAAATATGTTCTATGTTACCATGCCCTCTCTGGTTTGTGAGAAATTATTTTTTCATGAACAGAAATAGAAAATGATAATGATGATGTCAAGATCCTTAATCTTTTTTATTAAAAAGGAAATTTGATGAGACCACCTGGGAACTTGAGACCTTGAATGCTGAGACTTCCCAGTCCTGCACAGGGGATAATGCCCAAGTGCTTGCCCCGGAGTGGGCCCACACAGCTGCAGGCTCCCAGGTTTGCACCAAGTGTCAGCTGTGGGAGCTCGCGGTCCACAGCCTTGGTCCCCTGTTGGGTGCCCATCACCAGGATCTTCCTGAGTGAGGATTTCCCATGCACATAGCGCAGCACATCAGCTACTACACAGAAGGACCAATTCTTCTGCCTCCACCACTGCCCCATGGGTACTGACTCTTGGCTTTGCTCTACTCTCCTGCTATCTGGCACAAGCAATGAGACAGTAGGTCGAGGGCTGTGCTGAGGTGCTTGGCTGCGCCAGCCGCCTTCTACTGCTTTTCAAGATTTCCAACAATTTCCCTGATCTTGGTTTGTAAAATTCCCATCAAATCTTTTGTCCTTCCTACCACTAGAGCTCCTGCACTTGGCTATTTGTCACAAAAATCACCTCCTTGATCTTCTCAACTATTATGCAAACACAAAGTGCAGCAGGAATACGAGATGCAGGGACATTCAGGAGCTTGTCACAAAGTTCCAGCTAATTTATGCCAAGATTTTAATGCTTCGGGTTCATGCTCTTTTCGCTAGACCATAGCCATCCCCAGTAGAGCTGGCACCAACAGAAGAGCCGTGGAACCTGCAAGGCCATTGTTCACTCTGTTAACCAGAAGCTCCTCTGACTGCGTGAACTCAAGTATGGAAATACACAACCCCTGCCCTGAAGGGACCGAGCAGAGAGGACGCAAAGTCCTTCCAGGATTACCATTCACTGAGACAAA